GCACGCCAAGGATGAAGTGCTTGGTGCCGTCTCAGTAGGCCCGGGATCTGATTGCGGTCACAGGGCCGCCTCCATTAGGAGGACTTTAAGTCTCTGCTCTCTATCTTTGAGAGTCCTGGGGCGAAAAGCCCTGCTCTTGCCTAGGCACCTCAAGCACGAAGAGTGCAGGTCACTCTTCAGCATGAATTTCCCGCAGTCCCGGCAGAGTCTGAACCCCAGGGACCCGGGCATGCCCCAGTGGGGCGACGAAAACTTGGGGAAACCCCCCCAAGTAACAACTAACTAAGCTAACACTTAACAACAAACTAACTATTTACAACAACGACGGAACACTGCTACGATTGCTGAAGAGCAAGCAAAGTTCCAGCTATCCGTCACCGGCGGTAAGAAGGAACTGAGGGGGTGGAGGGTCGGCTGGCCCGTATATACAGCGCCATGAAGGCGCTACTCCAGGGGGCGCCAAAGCCGACCCCACGGACGCTGCTATAGTAAAATCTTCCGGCTGGCGTGCACGCAGCGCGCACACACCTGCTTGGAATGGACATGAACAATCACTCAAAAATAATTAATATTCTTCTTCAACTACAAAATCATTGCGTTAATTACAGTATCATTAAATGAGTAATAATGCAATGAATTTCTTTGAAGTAATTTATACAGCACCATAAAATTAAATAGCAATGTGCAAATGCAGGTAAAGATAGTCCCTACTGCAAAGAGTTTACAATCACAGTAAGATAAGAAAAAAGACAAGGACCCTGAACAACAGATAAAGTATTATTAAGTAAAGTAAGATAAAGCAAGTATTATTGATGAGAAGAGGGATTGTCTGAAGGTGTGAGTATAACAGAGGGATTAAGATGAGGAGTTAGAGGGTTGGTTAAGGGATATGTATTAAATAGGGCTGTTGATTAATCACAGTTAATTCACGCGATTAACTAAAATAATTAATCACAATTAATCACAGTTTAATCGCACTGTTAAACAATAGAATACCAATTGAAATTTATTGAATATTTTGGATGTTTTTCTACATTTTCAAATATATTGATTTCTATTACAACACAGAATACAAAGTGTACAGTGCTCACTTATAGTATATTTGATAACAAATAGTTGCACTGTAAAAATGATAAATAAAAGAAATTGTATTTTTCAATTCACCTCATACAAGTACTGTAGTGCAATCTCTTTATCATGAAAGTACAACTTAATTTTTTTTTGTTACATAATTTCACTCAAAAACAAAACAATGTAAAACTTTAGAGCCTACAAGTCCACTCAGTCTTATTTAGCCAATCGCTAACACAAAAAGGTTTGTTTACATTTACAGGAGATAATGCTGCCCACTTCTTAATTACAATGTCACCTGAAAGTGAGAACAGGCGTTTGTATGACACTGTTGTAAGATATTTATGTGCCAGATGCGCTAAAGATTCGTATGCCTATTGATGCTTCGGCAACCATTCAAGAGGAAATGCTTCCATGCTGATGACGCTCATTAAAAAAATAATGTGTTAATTAAATTTGTGACTGAACTCCTTGGGGGAGAATTGTATGCTTCCTGCTCTGGTTTACCCATATTCTGCAATATATTTCATGTTACAGCAGTCTCGGATCGTGACTCAGCACATATTATTCATTTTAAGAACACTTCCGTTGCAAAATTTGACAAAATGCAAAGAAGGTACCAACGTGAAATTTCTAAAGATAGCTACAGCACTTGGTCCAAGATTTAAGAATTTGAAGTGCCTTCCAAAATCTTAGAAGGATGAGGTGTGGAGCATGCTTTCAGAAGTCTTAAAAAAGCAACACTCCAATGCGGAAATTACAGAACCTGAACCACCAAAAAAGAAAATCAACCTTCTGGTAGTGCCATCTGACTCAGATGATGAAAATGAACATGCGTCGGTCCACACTGCTTTGGACGGCTATTGAGCAGAACCTGTCATCAGCATGGACACGTGTCCTCTGGAATAGTGGCTGAAGCATGAAGAGACATGAATCTTTACTTCATCTGGCACGTAAATATCTTGCGACGCCGGCTACAAACAGTGCCATGCAAATGCGTTCTCTTTTTCAGGTGACACTGTAACCAAGAAACGGGCAGCATTATCTTCTGCAAATGTAAACAAACTTGTTTGTCTGATGGACTGGCTGAACAAGAAGTAGGACTGATTGGATTTGTAGGCTCTAAAGTTTGACATTGTTTTATTTTTGAATGCAGGTTTTTTTTGTACATAATTCTACATTTTTAAGTTCAACTTTCATGATAAAGAGATTGCACTACAGTACTTGTATTAGGTAAATTGAAAAATACTATTTCTTTTGTTTTTTACAGTGCAAATATTTGTAATCAAAAATAAATATTAACAGAGTACTGTACCACTTTGTATTCTGTGTTGCAATTGAAATCAATATATTTGAAAATGTAGAAAACATTCAAAAGTATTTAAATCAAAGGTATTCCATTATTGTTTAACAGCACAATTAATCGCGATTAATTTTTTTAATCACTTGACAGCCCTAGTATTGTATATTAATTCTTTATACTTGTTTCTTATAATTATAGACAAACATATTCCAACTCAAATTCTTCCTGTACGAAATTTGGCTTATGTCAATACAGTACAAAAACTGATTAGCTGATGTACATATTTAGCTGTGAAATATACATTTTCCAGAGGTTTTTATACACAGCATTTCCTACTGTTTGAAATATTCTGATAGAGGGTTGGTTTCTGTATGACTCATCTGCTGCTGCAATGCACAGGTGCATGAGGTCATGCTCAGCAACATCCTTTGTCCTTAATATTCATTTAATATGGCTTTATTTTTTTTATTTTTTATTTTTTTAAGGTGACTGGTTTTGTTCATTCTCTAGACAAGTTTACTATGAATAAACTTGAACTGCATCAAACAGATTTACACTAGACTTTATAAAGCAATTACATATTTTACCAAATTTGCATTTGTTTTTAATTTTACTAGTAAACATACAGTGGTTGGTCCTACAGAAACTCTCTGAAACAACATGTATAATTCATCCCATTACAGCCATGGATGTTCAGTTACTATCAATATATTTGGGGATTTCTGTAAAAAACTCAAAACTTAATTTTAGTTTAAGTGGCCCTTTTTAAATTATGTAGAACTTTATTTATAAAGAAATAATCAATTTCAATATACAAATTTAAATTCAACCATAATTACGTTTCTCAAACCAGAGTATGAACAAATGCTTCACATCTAGAAATATTAATGGTTTCTTCATTAAACTCCACTTAAGATGGAACCCAAGACATACTGGTATATTGCCAAAACAAATGTATATTATATTATAACTGTGGGTTACAGGCATTGAGATTATTTAAAAAAAAAAGTATATTATTATACAAGCACACTAAGGGCTCAATTTGCATACCCTTAATCACAAGTGGTCTTTAACTTTAATGAGATTGCTTAGACGAGTAAGAACTATTTACATGAGCACCCAGATCCTAAAAACAAGAGTATCTGCATTAAGGCAGAAGAATTTAAAACAATGAGGCAAAAAATATGGAGGTCCAAAAATCAAGGGAACCATAGTTATTCATATCCACAACTTACTACTTTTATGTTAAGATGGAAGACTTTTTGAAAATTTGTTGATATGTTTATACAATCTCTGTCATGCAAGATTGTTCCAGCAGCAGTCTGAAGACAATAAACCTTGAAACACTGGCTTAACCTCAATGAGCATTTTCCTTGTGATGAAAGGGGAAAAATTGTATTAAGGTAAACATATTGGACAACGCTAATGAACATTATTGTGCACTCTGCATAGTATTTTTTTTAAATTGCTTTCAACTATTATCCTGGTTTTTTTGGTTGTTTTTTTAAATATTGGTAAAGTGCACACAATTCATTGATGTATCCTTATTAGACCACTTTGAAACATATTTCTTTTGGGCACTAGTTATTTTAGCAACTAAAGAGATTTAGTTTGAACTTTTCCAAAATTACACTTTTGGACAGAACTCAAGAGTGGAAAGAAAATGATTCACAAGTTCACAACCAGAAAAGAAGAGGGTTTTAAAATGCAAACAGTTTTTACCTTTAATTATAGTGGGCACAACAGCACTTTCTATTTTATTTTCATGTAATATTTAATACACCCCACACACACATTTCCATTGAGCTAGTATCTTGAAATTTGGAATCCACATTCATTGTAGGCCAATGAGTAAAGGAAATTTCCAAATCTGATATTTGATCTCTTCCTTTTCTACCAGGAGACAGCAGAGGTTAATAGGCATGAATGTAAACTATTCAAGTACTCTTTTTAAAACACACACACACACACACACACACACACACACACACACACACACACACACACACACACACACACACACCACTAATCACTCTCTCCTGGGAC